GCAAAGCTGCAGGTTAGGATCAGGTAACATCAGATCTGCTGAAACATGGAGGACACATTGTGCTAGAAAAACTAGCCACCCTGTTTACGAGGTGTCTCCTGACGGGAAGGGTAGCAGAGTCTTGGAAAAACGCTAACATCATTTTAATACATAAGAAAAAAGATGACAAGGACTTGAAGAATTACAGGCCGGTGAGCTTGCTCTCTGTAATATACAAGCTATTTACCAAGGTGATTGCTAACAGAGTAAAGAAAACATTAGAATTCAATCAACCAAAGGAACAAGCAGGATTTCGAACAGGCTACTGAACAATCGACCACATTCATACTATCAATCCGGCAATAGAGAAATGCTCAGAATATAACCAACCACTATACATAGCCTTCATAGATTACGAGAAGGCGTTTGATTCAGTAGAAATATCAGCCGTCATGCAGACACTGCGGAATCAGGGCGTCGATGAAGTATATATAAACATCTTGGAAGAAATCTACAGGGGATCAACTGCTACCATAGTGCTTCATAAAGAAAGCAACAGAATACACATTAAGAAGGGTGTAAGGCATGGGGACACAATCTCCCCAATTCTATTTCCGCGTGCTTACAGGAGGTTTTCGGAAGCCTATAATGGGAACAGCTAAGGATAAGAGTTAATGGAGAGTACCCCAGTAACCTGCGTTTCGCCGATGACATTGCCTTGCTGAGTAACTCAGAGGACGAACTGCAACTCATGATTAAGGAGTTAGACAAGAAGAGCAGAAAAGTGGGTCTTAAAATTAATCTGCAGAGGATTAAAGTAATGTACAACAACCTCGCAAGAGAGCAGCGCTTCGAGATAGGTAATAGTTCACTTCAAGTTGTAAAAGAATATGTCTACTTAGGGCACGTAATAACCGAGGAGCCGAACCACGAGATTGAAGTAACTAGAAGAATAAGGATGGGGTGGAGCACCTTTGGCACGCACTCTCAAATTATGACAGGTAGATTGCCACTATCCCTCAAGAGGAAGGTATAAAACAGCTGTATCTTGCCGGTACTTAGCTACGGAGCAGAAACCTGGAGACTTACAAAGATGGTTCAGCTTAAATTGAGGACGACGCAGCGAGCAATGGAAAGAAAAATGGTAGGTGTAACCTTAAGAGACAAGAAGAGAGCAGAGTTGATCAGGGAACAAACTGGAGTTAAGGATATCGTAGTTGAAATCAAGAAGCGGAAATGGACATAGGCCGGGCATATAGTGCGTAGGCAGGATAACTTCTGGTCATTAAGGGTCACACACCGGATTCCCAGAGAAGGCAAGTGGGTCAGGGGAGGCAGAAAGTTAGATGGGCAGATGAGATCAAGAAGTTTGCGGGTATAAATTGGCAGCAGCAAGCACAGGACCGGGTTAACTGGCGGAACATGGGAGAGGCATTTGTCCTGCAGTGGACGTAGTCAGGCTGATGATGATGATGATATGTACGGAATGAATTACGCGTCACGTTAATGGTGCGCGGCCGTTTCGCAAGCTTGATACATCGACATTGGTAACGCATGACATGACTATTCCGAATATGCATGGGAGGTTCTCGCATATTAGGGGCGAAGCTCCGTATAGCGGCACGCGTTCGTCCCTCGTAGCCGTTGTAGTGTGTAACAAGTATAACATTCTGACACCCAAGGTGGAGCCGGTGAGAGATTTTGTCTGTGCGTTGTTGAACAATAAAGAATAGTGATCAATGTACATGCCAATGGCTGCTAATGGGGAATGAGAAACAGGGGCGTTCGGCTTTTAGTTAACGCGCACGCTGCGATCCCCATTAGCAGCCATTGGCATGTACATTGAGCACTATCTGACAAGGAAGGGTCACTACGTTATACTCGCAGGGCGTAACCCTCTTAGAAAGGTTTAGCGAGCGTTGGGCCGCAGTGCCACGAATACAATGAACTAGTATATACCATGAACTCGAAGTGGTTAAAGGTGGGAAGTAGACACGAAGCGCAAGCCGTAAGAAAGTGTGCGTGTGCCTCCTTTTGTTCAGTCCTTGGGATGTCCGCCGGATGGCGGTGCTTCTATATGGGGAATATATGATGAAAAGATGCGAGATGTAGTTACTTGGAGTGTTGAATATATAGACGAACGGACACACAGACAGATGCATGGATGGACGCATGAACGGACGCAGGGGCGGATGCATGGACGAACGCAGGGACGGACGCACGAACAGACGCACGCACGGACGGGCGGATGGGCGCATGGACGGTCACACAGACGGACGCATGGACGGACGGAAGCAAGAACGAATGGACGGAGGAATGCTTCGCCCCCCTCTCCATCATTTACTCCGTGGATGTGCTGCCAATTTTTTTCTCCTCCTCCTCCTCGGGGTTTGGACTTGTTTGGGCACGTCATGTGCACGTGAGCTTTTGGTCAAATGCCAGATAGGGCGGGGAAGAGATTTGGCTTGCGAAGGCTACGCGGAGGAGTGGCAAGGATTTCGCGCTCGCCTCCTGTCATCCTCGTTTTGCGCCGCTTCAAAAAACCGGTTTTCTCCGCTCGTGATGAACCGATTCAAAAAATTTTCGTGCCAAAATGTTCCTCATCGGACACCTAACAACTTCCACTGTCTTACTAAAATGTGGTATGGGGCCTGGTGAGTGGCCCTTTAATACAAAAGTGTTTTTTATGAGGCAGCACACTGAGACATCGGTGACATATTTCCGTCACGATAATGATGTCTAAAAATACACAGGATCAAAAAGCAAAGGTTACATCAACGAGAGTCGAACACACGCCCTTTCGGCCCACGACAACGCTACCCACTTCGCCATGGCCACTCTCTTGGGCAGGCTTACAAACACACCTTTTATTTTGTTACGGTGAGAAGTCACGCACGACGTAGCGGCAGAGTCCCGCCAATGGAGTTCCTGAAGCACTATGTGCGCACAGTTCACGCCAGATCATAGGGCCCTCGTCGATTCTCACAACAGTGGTGACGTCTGGAAGCCGACCAAACTTTGCCCACCGAGTTTCAAGTGCCTCGAACGTCCACCACTGTCAGATGATGTGATTTGCTAATTGTATGAAATCATTGCCTGTGAGGTAGATGTCCTCAGCGATTCCCTTGAGGAGACGTTCGACCTTATCCTCATCTGTCATGAGCGGGGTCATCCTTTTGCACAACTTGAGAACTTCCTCTGCGTACATCGTGCACGTTTCCCATGGAACTTGAGCGCGTTGGCTCAGCGTCTGCTCAGGCCGCTTCTTTCAAATGCGAAGCATTTCTTAGCGAACTTCGGCGACTTTGAGCGTATCTATCTATCTATCTATCTATCTATCTATCTATCTATCTATCTATCTATCTATCTATCTATCTATCTATCTATCTATCTATCTATCTATTTATCTATCTATCTATCTATCTATCTATCCATCTGTCTGTCTGTCTGTCTGTCTGTCTGTCTATCTATCTATCTATCTATCTATCTATCTATCTATCTATCTATCTATCTATCTATCTATCTATCTATCTATCTATCTATCTATCTATCTATCTATCTATCTATCTATCTATCTATGTCTGTCTGTCTGTCTGTCTGTCTGTCTGTCTGTCTGTCTGTCTATCTATCTATCTATCTATCTATCTATCTATCTATCTATCTATCTATCTATCTATCTATCTATCTATCTATCTATCCGCCTACGACTTTTAGCTCTTCTGGCCGTTTGGATAATAATATGGATACCAAGCTTGGTATGGCATAACATGACTGTATGAAGAACATATTTGACTAGTCGTAACATGAAACTCATGACATGTATGTCATAAATGTTATCATTTACATTTCAAGGTCCTGCAGCTCTTGCAGTGGTTTCGTTCACATTGCATGTTGCGAAATTGGTATGGTATGACCTGTTTGCATGGCGAACGCAAGCGACAGGCCCTAACATGAAAATCATGACATGCATGTCATGACATGCACTGGCGGCCGTTTCGCTAGCTTCCCATGTACCAAATTTGGTATTACAGGACGTGAATGGATGACGAAGGTATGATATTGGTGGAAACATGATAAACATGAGATGCGTGTCATGTAACAACAGGACTACATGCTACGCTCATGATGCGCTCTCAGTCGTTCCGATAGCTTCATATGTACCAAACTCGGTATTACGCGACGCGAACGGACGACACAGGTAAAAGACACATCCAAACCTGATAATCACGACATGCATGTCATGCAACAATTTGACTACATTCCACACTGATAACGCGCTCGCGGACATTTCGCTAGCTTCACATATGCCACATATGGTATTACGTGACGCCAATGAATGACGAAAGTATGCGACTGGTACAAACATGATAATCATGAGATGCGTATCATGTGAGAACATGAGTACATGCCACAGTCAAGGCGCCAATACATTTCGACGTGAAGCAGTGCGCGTGCTGGCCAGCGTTCCTTTTGTCGCGTCACCGGTCCTTCCATATGCTCGAAGGCACGCGCCGCGCTGCGTTGCTTTGACGAATGCGCGTTGCAGCACGTCCGGCGTCCCTCCATCACGAACAGAGGGAGAGGCAGTGTTGCCTGGCCAACGCCTCCTAGAAAAACTATGCCCGGAACGTCGCTTTCTTTTCAATTGAGAGCCTCCTGCCAGCACGTAATCTCGGAGGTCATGCCTCCTGCCTTGTGTTGCGACCAGCCGCGGCGTGAGACCATTCACCTCCGAACCGCTCAGTCACGTGACATAACCGCACCGCTCTTTCATATGACATCAAGGCTGCTCGGAGGCAACTGTGAGAGCATTGCTGTGTTCGCAGGGAGCAGCCGTCGGAGACGCTCGCCTTCGTACCGAAGGAGCAGGGTAAAATCAGAGGGTAGGGCAGCACGTTCGAGGCTCACGTTCCAGGCATGGTCTGGGTAACGAGTTGGCATGAAATGCAGCATTCGCGCCGATTGCCGTCGGGCCGCGCCGACAAACGCTGGTCGTGCATGGCGTCAGACTATGGAGTGCTTGCGTTTTGCTAACGTAGCGTCGCTGTGCCACTGTACGTGGGATCTGCCTTTTTTTTTCGTAGACGAGTCACCAAAGCACTTATTTACCTCATCAACGAAATTAGCCCATGTGGTCAAGTTCTGCTCGTGATTCTCAAAACACTCCAATACGGTTCCCTCAAGAAACACTGGTACGTAGTCCCACTAGCTGGCGGTGTTCCAGTACTTATAGACTCGCCTGCTGGTAGAGCGTGAATCATTTCTTCCAGAGAAGGATCGAGGCTGCCTGTAATGTCGTCCTGGAGTGTTGGACGAAAGCGGCGAATTGTTCCCGTCAGAATTCATGATGGTTGGTAGACGCGGAGGGCCTGCGGCTTCGACGAAACTACTGGTTGCTACTCCGTGTGTCCCTGCTGGAGGCTCAACTGCGTTACCCAGCACTCTCCGCCAATTGCGCTGCGGTGAGAGATGTTTATTTTACAGGGCGAGGTCGCTGACATCTTCTTAGCCCAGCTACAATCTAATTGCACTTCCTCCTTCTACTGTAACCTTCGTCCATCACTGTCCTTTCACAGTGCCCTTGGTAAAATGCTGTGATGCATCACAACCGTGACATGGCATCTATCAATATTAAAAATAAATCACAGCATATCTACGGAGTGAATGATGATGAGTCGGGCGAAGCTTCGAAGGGTTTTATCGGCATGTATACCATGAACCCTCCGCTGGCTGCGTACATCTGTCAGTCCGTCCGTCCGTCCGTCCGTCCGTCCGTCCGTCTGTCTGTCTGCCTGTCTGTCTGTCTGTCTGTCTGTCTGTCTGTCTGTCTGTCTGTTCATCCGTCCGTATGTCTATCTGTTTGTCCATCCGTTCGTCCATCTGCCTGTCTGTTCATCCGTCCGTCCGTATGTCTGTCCACCTGTCCGTCTATCTGTCTGCATGTCCGTCTGTCTGTACGTCTGTCCATCCGCCCATCCGTTCAGCTAGTGAACACTTCAAGTACTGCTATCTCGCATCTTTTCATTATATATTCATCACAGACAAGTACCGCTATCCAGCGGACATTCCAAGGACTAAAACGAGAGGTGGTTTTTACATACAGGAGACGCACAACCCACCCCTTAAGGAGCTTCACCCCTAAAATAGTTCTGCGTTGCGAGGTTGTAACTCCGCGTTATCTACTTGCGCTCACCCCGCGAAAAATCGCGGCCAGCCAACAGCATAGGCGTAACGCGCTTTGTGTGCCTCCATTGGCGGGCAGTGGCGTTCAATTTGCACATAGGGACCGCTAGCCGTAGTTTGGCCATGGTGCAAAAATACTTTGGGTGAACGAACGCCGCCAAGCGAGCGCTTAGCGGGGAGGGACCAATTATGTTCTCGTTTGCGCCATGCCTATGGGTGGCTTGCCGGACTGAGGACCGCGGCGGTCTGCTGGCAAATTCCGCAAATCACATACGGAATGCGGGCAACGGTTTCCAAATGCTAGACAACCGGGTTAACGCGCGGGATGAACCACGCGACACGCACAGAGCGGCGCCTCGAAAGAGGGCGAGATAAGGGAGGAGATTGACTGCGCGGCGAGGGTGTTGTGGCGACGATAAATGAGCCCCACTACTTCCCTATGTCATGCGGCTTTCCTACACCGACTGGGGTAGAAGGAGGAGCCGGGACAAAGTTTGTAGCGCCATCTCTCGGGTCCTTGCGAAGCAGAAAGTTATCCGGCAGCGGATAGTCCCAGAGTTCGCTTAACTAAAGTATTTTTGCACCTCGAGTTTGGCGTATCCATTTGGCGCATCCTTTAACACCTGTCACAATACCTTATCTGATTGTGTTGTCACCGTCAACTACTACAGCTGCAACAAAGCTTTCTTTATTCATTGATCATGAATGTTTGTTGTCAGAATGGAGATGTATCACTAAGGGCCAACGTTGGTTCGTTTACTATAAAAGTGCTATAGCTCTGAAACATCATAACACAATTCATTGCTTATGTGCAAAATGTCTTATATCCATGTATAGTGACCACTCAACTCCTTCTGTAAGGACAGGTCTCACTTTCGTGTTATAGCTTCCTATGACGGATGGTGTTATGCCAGGAGACATGGTCCTTGTTCGGGAGGGATTCTTCCCACGAGAACGAGCGCAGTTCTGGCGAACTCTCCCCCCTCCCAACGCCACTTTCCTCGCAAACGGTGGCGACCCACGTGCAGTTTCGGGGAAGACTTCGCCTCCTCCGCCGAGCCACGTACAGTTCCGGGGAAAGCTGCGTCTTCTCCACCGAGCGACGTGCGATTCCGGGGAAGGCTTTGCCTTCTCCGCCAAGCACCGAAAACTGGTCTCAGAGAGAAGACCAAAACGTTATCTAAGGCGTGTCAACCCGACGTGTGAGGATTTCTGCCCCAGCCGACGTCGTCATTGTGGCGGGCTTTGTATAAACTATAACCTGATATAGCAGACGTTGCTGCTTTCAAAACAATTGCCTCTTCATTTCGCTTGTGGACGAAGGCTTCAGCTACGTCCGTTCGGCTGCTCACCGCTCTTTGCTACCGCTACCTTCGCAACACAGCGAATTCCTAACAATGGTGGTAGCGGTGGAATGCCACCAAACCCGAATTCAAAACAGTGGTGGCAGCAGTGGGATGCCATAACCCGAATTCCCAACAATCAATCAACCATATTTTTTATTCTAGTGCCCTCGGGGAACGCTATCGCATTACATGAGGGGGGAGGATAAACAACAAATTTTTACACATAATGAAAAGCTGCAGGCCAATACAGTGCTATTATACAGAAATTCATAAAACGTAGTAACAAAACAGGCTAACAACAAGACTAAATATAAAATAAAGCATTATTCTTAATGAATGTTACAGTGTTCTAAATACGTAAGCATTCCTAAATTGCACAGACGCCCAGCAATCGTAAATATCCTAGAAGATCATTCCATTTACTGTAGATAAAGTTCAGGGCGAATTTCTCATTCTAGGAGAACTTACAGATCGAATATGAACTACTAATAAAATACGGATCGACGAACATTCGAATAGTGCCATTCTGTTCATTTTTTGTAGCTCTTAGTGGTCAGTTTTTGTTAGATGTGAATTAAAAACCTGAGGTCCAGCTAGAACTATAGTATTCATGTGAAAACAAAATGAAGCGGTCAACACACTTGAAAGCACCTATGCTGGATGGGAGGTGCACGAAAATGCAATTTTGGACTCCATCGTATACAAATACGATTGTGCACGACAGCGTATCTAATACGAATCTAACATTTCTTGCATTCTGCCCGTCTGTTCATTTTCTGTAGCGCTTAGTGGTCAGTTTTATTGCGAGAGCAATCATATAGACACTCTCGGCTGGATGTTGCCACCGGCGTCGGCGTCGTCATCATTAACCGTATATGTAGAAGTATCCATATATAAGAAAACGCAAGAAAGAAAATATTCTAGAAAAAAAAAACGCCGGCGCACGGAATCAAACACCCGACCTCTGAATTGTGAGTGCGACGTGTTAGCAACTGAGCCACGAAGGAAAACCTCCTTCAGCAATTAAACGGCCAGTTATTCATATATACGACTCATCCTTGACGATGGGAATCTCAGGAAGGAGCTATCATGTTTTCAGCATTACCAGTCAGATGGCGCAATGAGCACACGTCGCCAGATCATCACGATGCGTCGGCGCGCGCTCTCATCTCTACGAAAAAGGCAAGCTTTTCATACACACCAAAGTAACAACTGAGATGCTTCTTCGCGTTCATCTGTACCGGTGAGTACGTTTCATGCGTCAATTGTGCGTAAGAAACTAGGGGCACGTTTCTATATGCTAAATGCTTTTCGCTTGACCTTCTAACTTAATGCTATCGCATTCATTGCCTTACTTTTGTGGCAAAGCTGAGACTTTTTTTTGCCAGATGCGGATTGCAGAAACATTAGGTCCAGCTTGAACTAAGGTATTCATGTGAAAACGAAATAGAGTGGTAAAGGTAGTTGAAAGCAGCTATAGTGGACGGAAGTTCACGAACAGCAAATTTTAGAGCTGAATCCGACAGAAATCGAATATAGGCGCCACCGAATCCAACACGAATACCACCTTTTTTGCATGCTGCCAGTCTGTTAATTTTCTTTAGCGCTTAGTGGTCGGTTTTTGTGAGATGAGGATTGGGAAAAAATTGAAGTCCAGCTATAACTAAAGTATTCATTCGAAAACGAAATGGAGTGGTGAAGAGAGTTGAAAGCACCTAAAGCGAACGGCGCGGGCAAAAAGTCAATTTTAGAGCTCAATTCGACAGAAATGAAATATGAACGACAACGAATCCAATACGAATCGCACATTTTTCGCATGCTGCCCGTCTCTTCATTTGCTTTATCGCTTAGTGGTCGGTTTTTGTTAGATGCGGATTGAAAAAAACTGAGGTCAGCTACAAAAGCATTAATGTGAAAACGAAATGGAGTAGTGAATAGAGTTGCAAGCACCTATAGCGAACGGGGTGGGGGTGCTAAAAAAGAGAATTTCAGAACTGAATCAGATACCAATCAAATATGGGCGACACAATATCCAATAAGAACACAACATTTTACACATGTTGCCAGTCTGTTGATTTTCTGTAGTGCTTATTTGCCAGTGTTTTGTTATATGTAGATTGCAAAAACTGAGGTTCAGCTAGAACTAAAGTACTCACGTGAGAACAAACTGGATCGGTCAACAGAGTTGCAAGCGCCTATAGTGGACGGGGGTGCACAAAAAGTGAATTTTAGAATTGAATCGGATACAAATCGAACTTGGGCGACACCGTCATCCAAAAAGTATCTAATATTTTTCGTATGCTGGATGTCTGTTGATTCCCCGCAGAGCTCATTTGCTAGTTTTTTGTTATATGCGGGTTGGGAAAACTGAGGTTCCACTCTCCCGTGGAAGCCACGTCTCAACCAAACCATGAAACATCCTTCGGTGCACACGCATAAAGAAATATACTGTATTGATACAAGTGATCATTGACATCAACGAATGCACCATAAAGGCGACGAAGATGACGAATAAACAAAAGCTCGTGTTGTTGTTGCCACTGCGCCATCTTGGTTCGAGGACACTGTGTACCCCGTGTAGAATCTGCAGATATATTTCTACCCTCTGCCTACTCTCACCCCGTGATATTTTGGTGGTGGTGCGGGGTAACAAAACGGAGCTACGCAGCGGCCAACGTTTGGTTTCTTCCACGATGGCACAAAAGGGTCCGGCTCTAGCTTCTGCAGTGGCCATCGTAACGACGACAGTTGTTCTGCCCCAGTTGAAAGACCCTGACACGTGTTGCGGGACCGACAACGTAGACATTCAAGAATGGTTGCCGCTGTACGAGCGAACAAGCAGGAGTTATCGCTGGGATAAAACGCTCATGCTGGCGAACATCCTATTTTACCTGAATGGGACAGCCAAAGTGTGGTTTGAGAACCACGAAGTGGAAATTGGCAGCTGGGATGCGTGCAAAGAAAAGGTGCGTGCACTCTTCGGCAAATCGACTGGCAGGAGGACAGCGGCCAAGAAGGAGCTGGCATGTCGCGCTCAAACGTCATCGGAGTCATACCTGTCTTACATACAGGACATGCTCGCCCGTTGCCGTAAAGCAGACGACGGCATGGAGAAGTCCGAGAAGGTAGCGCACATATTCAAAGGCATTGCCCATGGCACGTTCAATTGGCTAATTTGCAAAGACTGTGACACAGTAGACGCCATTATCCGAGAGTGCCAGCGTTTTAAGGCCGCCAAGAGCCGACGTATTTCCCATCAGTTCACCCGACTTCCCAACACTGCAACAACATGGTCGGGCGAAGACGTGCCTGCACCACATGCACCGCTGACTGCAGAGCACGTCACGAAGATCATCCGTCGAGAACTTGAAGCTATGTCTCCCGCTTCAACTTTTCTCGTGCATGTGAGCCCAGCTCCCAAATGGTGCCTTTAGTGCATGCCATCGTTCGGCAAAAGCTTTCGAACGTTGGCCTGGAATCTGTATGCACCGCCGCCCCCTCCCAACCGACTGACCACCGTCCGCCAGTTTCCTACGCCCAAAGCCAGAGGCTCCCAGCGCACTCTCGCAATACCGCTGAGTGGAGGACTGCTGATGACCAGCCCATTTGCTTTAACTGCCATCGTGTTGGTCACGTGACCCGCTATTGCAATGGCAGGTGGTATTGGCGTCAGCCTTCCTATGGCTACAACGGTCGCGCAGAGGCAGATGATGGCCACTTCGGAACTTGCCACGAGTCGCCTCGGCCAGCCAGTGGTGACGGTTCGTCGACGGTGCGTTGTCGGCCACCAGTCCCACTCAGCGTTCTCTCATCGCCCATCGTCGCGCTCACCCCAATTTCGCCGTCGTCCTTCGCCTACTGCACATCTGGCTCGGGAAAACTAGACGATGCAGCTACTAGAGGTGATGCTGCATCGACGATTCACCAGCCAAATCCTCTGGATATTCCGGCACGACGCAACCTCATAGACGTTAAAGCAGACAATGCACTTGTTGTTCCCCTAGTAGACACAGTGTCCCACATTTCGGTGATGAACTCGGAGCTTCGCCACCGCCTTAAAAACGTTTTAACACCGCCCCCAGTGCCGCTCATCCAAGTCGCAGACGGTGGAACTTTTCCTGCGCTTGGGATGTGCTCCGCACGAGTTAGTGTTGCTGACCGCTCCACAACTGTGCTTTTTGCCGTGCTTGAGAAGTGCTCTCATGAACTCATCCTGGGCATGGACTTTATTGCCGCGCACTCTGCCTTAATTGACTGTGGAATAGGCCTGCTTCAGCTTGACCTACCTTGTTGCTATGACACTCCAACTACACCTCAACTACGTTGGCGTTCTGTAGAGTTCGTTCTCCTAGCGCCCCAAGCCGTTACCTATGTAACTGTGAGGTCTTTTCCTCCGGTACCCGATGGCGATTATGTGCTGGCACCGTTTTTGCACATGTTATTAGACAGAAATGTTGCCCTTCCTCGTACTCTGTTCACGATTACGAATAATGTGGCATCGCTACCGATACTGAACTTTAGCTGGTGCGCTCAAGTTGTTCCAGATAACATGACTCTAGCCAACGTCTCTTCCATCACTGAACATTCTGTTTCTGCATTCATTGCAGACGCTCTTTTGCCCGCTACTACATCCCCTTCACAGAGCTCTACTGATGCCGACTTTGACAAGATGATCGCGCCAGACCTCGTTCCAGCACAGGCAGCCGATCTCCGGCATATCTTGGCATCCTTCAGGGACATCTTCGACTTTGGCGACAGCCCATTAGGTCAGACGTCAGTTGTTACAGGATCAACACTGGAGACGCCAGCCCAATCCGACCACGTCCATATCGCGTTTCACATGCAGAGCGACAAGTCATCCAACGTGAAGCTGATAAAATGGTCACAAAAGACGTCATTAAACCATCTTGTAGTCCATGGGCCTCACCA